AAAACAACTTCTCTTGAAGCGTCATAACTTTCCTAGGTTAAAGACTGATTATTGAAATTTGGAGCTTTCTCCCGCTTTGTCAGTACTCATGAAAAGCTTATAAACCCACTGCTTGCCTGCTTTCACTTTTTCAGCACCTGACATAAAATATATTAACTCTCCCTACAAATCTCACTTAACTGAAATTAAATGCAGTAATACCCATGTTCTGTAACTCCCCTGAATTCAGTTATCTGATGGAAGAACACGAACAGAACTAGTAGGATCTCATACAAGATCACTAGTATATTGTCTGTAATAACAGTCCTACCAAATTTTAATTGTCCCAGCTTGCCAACTAAATGAAAAAAACCCAACTATATTAAGGTATCTGAAGCATGACTTCAAGCTATGGAATGGCAGTTGTCGGACTACATATTATATATGAATATTAAAAATGTTAGTTTACTCAAAATGTTTCTACTTTGGTTGCTCACAAGATGAAATCTAGTATGCCTTTTAACCAGTCAGTCCATACGTTTGCAAGTAAATCTTCACAGGAAAGAAACATATGCCAAAAAATTGGAATTATAGTACAAACAGTAATTTACAGTAAAATATGAAAATACTTAAACACAGATTTTTCTGTGCCTGTGTCCAATTTACAGCAATGACGTGATAAACAAGATGCAATACGGCAAATGACAGCTTTTTGATGTATAAAAATATAAAACAGTTTTCTATATCTAAAAATGGATCTGACATTTTTCTGTAGGGTACAGCTGAAAACAAGGGTTCCACCCTTTATATGGTCATTATAGTGAAATATCATCTGATGAGCATCTGAAAATATACTTTGAAACTGACTTACAGGACATGTAACGTTCTGTAACATGATTATCTTCTTGCATATAATACTGTACAACAGAACTGTAATTTCTTGCTTGCTAGCTTTGAAAACTACAATTCAGCATGTGTATTTGTCAAAATCCCTATAGTAACATAAAATACTGTTCAGAATAACAGTTTTGTGCCAATCTGCAATAAAGTTACTTTTCAGTTTGCAGAGCTATGTGAGTATGAACTGACAGCTTCACATTTTCAGATCAATTCTGTCAAATGTAGCTTATGTTTCCCTGTAATTTAATTTGAGATCCCTACTAAAACAGATTCTAGAAAACTTTTCGTAATAGTTTGGGGATTGTGAATGTATAAATTCACAAACTCTTCTCAAACTCTTAGGAAGCTAAGGTTTTACCATGTGAAATCAAAATGTCATTTTACACATATTTTGAGTAAGGCATTTGGGGTACATGACCACAATGTCATTTGAGCATGCAAAATCAATCCATTCCCATAGCCACACTCCAAAAAAAAGGTAGTTCTACGAATGATAGCACGTTATGAGAGCCTTCTGGTACCCATTTCAAGGTAAATATAAATAACTAATATTTAAATATCTGGTAATTTTGAAGAACCACCACACATACAGTTAATATTTTAGAAGAATATAAGGAAGAGTAATTTCTGTTTATGTTGGGTTTCAAGATCTCTAATGGTTGGTTTCTGATCTCTAATGTTATTAAGTTGTACTAATGCACTCAAATAAGCTATGACATAAGTTTCCCAATCCTAATTTTAATGCAGGCTAACTGTGCATTCATTTTCAAATATAGGTAGATGTTTCACTGAGAAACTCATATTCTACTACGACGTACGTTCATCGTATGTCTGGATGGACAGATACCATGCAGTCCAACGAGTCAGGCATGAACCACCAAATCAGCAAGCACATGCCCATTCCATTACAGTGCCTCCAATTTTGTCACGATACGGGAGAAATCTTCAGAGTGTCTCAAAACCTTCCAGATGTTAAACAGCATACTAAAATAAATTTTGAGGCTAGAAAAAAAGAGCAATTCTTTTTTTTAATGAGCAGAAATAACCCCTGCAGAAACCGAAAAAGAAATGTTATATTTTAGCCAGAGCATGAAGGCTTCATACCCTTCTAAACCGCGTGCTTCATTTTAGCCATGTGTCTTTTGTTCCAGTAATTTCTGTGTCAGATTCTGTGACATGCATTTTGAATATAGATCATGAAATTATTTCCCGATTTTAAAATCTACAAAACAATACTCTGCCTTCCCAATTCTCTTTCTACTCTACAGGCCACCACTTCAGTGTCTGAATAATTTCATGGGCTTTCCCATAGAAACAAGTAAGACCAGGGCAATTTTCCTTTAGTGTTTTCTTTTTGACGACTTCATCTAATAATTGGTTTTGTTCCAGCCTCTATTTACATTTAATTTTATGTCCCATTGCTCTGAATCAGTTTTGACTCTGACATTCCCTGTCAAAAACATTAAAAGTTTTTCCTCGCTGCTTCCCAACACTTTTGCTTGCTGACTGGATCACTGTCTTGTTTCCATCTGGCTCTCGAAGTTAATTCATAATGCAGTGTCTTTTTCACGCACAAATAAATTCTGTGCGTTTTTTTCCCAGATACCTCAACCCTTTAAAAATGAGTCTTACAGTTAATATTTTGAAGGTCTTTAGATCCAAGAAAGAAATGTTACAAGTGATGTAGCAATTCACAGTTCTTCAATCTCCTTCCAAATCCAAATCATTGTCTTAGCTTGTCTTCTATGCCAAAAAGTACACAGCTCCACATGCTACTTTCTGCGGACCCTTCTGTTACACTCGGTGTGCTTTCCTGTCTCACGTGTCATTTCATGTAGCATTTCAGCGCTAACGCTACGCGAGAGCTATCTGTGCTCCATAAGCTTTGGCACGATGCAGGTTTTTCTCGGCTAAGATCTTTGCCAAAGATTTTACCTTAGTTTTGAAACTATCTCTTTGCTGGGGCTCAGTCCCCCCAAATAACATACCTTTCAGATGCTTTATCTTCATTTCTGTGCTCTGCCTGAAAGCGTGTTACTGGTATGCTTCCCTTCTACTCGGACTGCCGTAAATTCAGTAATACGGTTTCATAGCTGGCCTCCTCTTGAGTTACTTGAAAATTACTAAAAATATGAAGTGCTTCCTAAATAGGTCTTGTCAGAAATACAACTGCTTTGTCTTCCTTTGCCAGGCACTCATTATTACAGACATATAGGAAAGCGGTGTTCAAGCCTTTTCCAGCTGTCCTCCGCATTTCCAGAGTTTCAACATTCGGAGGACTTTTAACTGTTGCCTCTTTCCACTCACGTGGTTCATTTTACTTCTGTTCCTCAGAAATTAGCCAGAGCGAAGGAGTCGGACAGTTAGGAGTTTCATTTCGTTTCTAAACGAACGGGATTAAATTTATAAAATGAGACCACCATCACAGCCGTCGCTACCGAGAGCCTCCTGAACGGCAATTCCTCTCACCGCGGCCACGCTCCACCTGAACCGTGACGGTGTCGGACCAGTACACCCCGTCACCCCGGGAAAGATGAGGGCCGCCGCCGGCGCAAACACAGGCGCGAAAAGGCAGAAAGGGCTTCAGCTGAAGGCAGGCGAAGGGAGCGACGTGGGAGCGGCCGCCGGACGGCAGCGGGGCAAGGG